GAGCTAACATCCATGCTAATCCTCCTCTTTTTGCTGAGGAAGACTGGCTCTGAGCTAACATCTATTGCCAATCCTCCTCCTTTTTTTCCCCAAAGCCCCGGTAAATAGTGGTATGTCATAGTTGCACATCCTTCTAGTTGCTGTATGTGGGACGTGGCCTCAGCATGGCCGGAGAAGCTGTGCGTCCGTGCACGCCTGGGATCCGAACCCGGGCCGCCAGTAGCGGAGCATGCACACTTAACCTCTAAGCCACGGGGCCGGCCCAGACATATGTTTTCATTTATCTTGGGTATATTCCTAGGAGTGGAATTGTTGGGTCATATGGTAACTCTATTTTTAACCTTTTGAGGAACTGCCAGACTGTTCTCCAAAGCAGCTGCACCATTTTACATTCCCACCAGCAGTGTATGAGAGTTCCAATTTTTCCACTTCCTTCATAACATTTGCTATTATCTCTCTCTCTTATTATAGCCATTCTAGGGGGTGTGACGTGGTATCTCATTGTGTTTTTTGTACATTTCCCTGATGGCTAATGATCTTGAGCATCTTTTCATGAAACTTCATCTTTTTGCCATGTTTTCTTAACTGTGATCTAGATTTAATCTTTGCCTGTAGACCATTTTTTAATTTCAGCATTATTTGCCATCTGGAGAGGCTGGGAATTTTCAAAATCAGCAATTCATGGCTCCTTTTTGTTTAATAGTGGATTTCTTTCCTCTCCTATTTTACTATAAGCAGTAAGAAACCAGGAAGCACCTTCAACACTCTGGCTGGAAATCTCCTCAGCTAGATCACCCAGTTCATTAGGTACATTTTCTGCTTTCCATGTTATTGCAGGTGACAGTGTTGCTAAACTTACTGCCACTGTAATAAGGATTTACTTCTCTCCAATTTCCAAAAACATTTTCCTCCTTTTCCTTCAAGCTCTCATCCAAAGCCTCCTCAAAGACCATCAGACTTCTTCTAATAGATCCTTCAAAGGCATTTATGCTTTCATTACCACTCTTCTCAAAGTCCTTCTGGCTTCTGCTCTTTGCTGGTTCCCAAGCTTCTCCCACATTTCAGTTTTTGTTTTCACAGCATCCTATTACAAATACTGGAATTAGTTAGCTGCATTAATTATATATACTACTTTTATCTGTATTTGTTATCTTTTCCTGTACAACAGGTTACTCTTAAATCAGTGACTTAAAACAACAATAAATTTTTATTATTGTACACCACGTCTAGCTGTCCTGGGTTGTTCTGGCTCAAGGTCTCTCATAAGGTTGCAAGATGTCACCAAGGGCTGGAGGATGCACTTCCAAGATCAATCCCTCTTGTGGGTGGCAAATTGGTGCAGGCTGGAGGCAGGAGGCCTTGGTTTCTTTCCACATAGACCTCTCCACAGATTGCTCAAGTGTCATTAGGATGTGGTGTTGGCTGCCCCAGAGTGAGTGATCCAAGAGAGCAAGGCTGAAGCTGCAATCGATGTATTTTATGACCTAGCTCTAGGATTCACACACCAGCATTTCCACAATGTTCCTTTTCATTACACAAGTCAGCCTTATTCAGTGTGGGAGGCACTACAGAAGGGTGTGAACACTAGGCGATAAGATTTATAGGGGACAAACTGGAGGCCGGCTGGGTAAGCTTGTGGCCAAAGCTGAGTCTGGGGTCCAAGTCAGGGAGGGTGGCAGTGTTAGAGCCTGTCAACTATGTCAAGGCGGGGCCACCACCCATAACCTCCTTCCGCAGCTCCTGAGGGTGGACCCGGGTCAGGGGCCCCCGGTCTGAGAGCAGGGCTGGGGTTCTACCTCCTCCTCCCAGGTGCCTCGTTCCAGAAAGGGCAGCAAGGGCAGGGCCCCTGGGAAACCCCTTGAAGGCTTGCCCACCACCTCTACTGTTCTTAGGCCGAGGTCCCTGAGTCATTCCTGCAAAGACGGATGTGAGCTGGAGCCTACTCCACTTCCCCTGGAGACGTGAACGAACTGACAGGACAGTTCCACGTTCCTGGGCACCGTCCTCCCGATACCCCCGCAATGAGACACACATGCAGCGCCCCAGCACCCCGCCATGGGCGCACACACACACACACACAACACACACTTACACTTCCAGATGTTTCCTCAACAAACAGCGGGGACTGGGCCGACCGCGGCCACAGCGCAAGGTTGCTGGCCCCGGACCCACACTTCCCAGAACACTGTGCTACACGCTCCTCCGGGTCGGGTCGTGGCCGGGGCCCCACACGCCCTCTGGGAAATGGAGTCCGCCACCAGTGCGGCGCAAAGGCTCCCGGGAGTTATAGTTGGCGTTCGGTCCGCGCAGGCGCACTTTCCCGCGGCTGCCGCCGAGCTGCTCGTTTGTGGTGGTCGCTGTGTTTTTGTGAGAGGCTCGTCAGCTGGCTCGGTTGTTCTGTCGGTCCGCCCCGGGGCCTGTCTGCCGGCCACGCTCCGCGCCCGCCTGCTCCGGGCGGCTAAGCCCGAGGCCTGCCCTGGCCCCGCGCGCGGTGCCCCGGGCGGAGTGTGGGACGGCTGCGCGGGACGCGGGTGATGGGGCCTGAGCGCAGCCTGGGGCGCGGGGCGCTGGCCGAGCTGGCCTGACCCCAACCGTAGGGGGCTCCGCGAGTGTGACCCCACGGGTACCCTGCAGGCCGCTGTCCCCTGAGCCCCAGTGGCAGGACCCGCTCCTCTGGGCCTGGCCTGGGGCCCGGGAGTCTGCAGAGCTGCCCACACCTCGGGGGGACGCTGCCGAGGGGCGCCATGGAGACCCCTGCCCCGAAGCCCCGGGAGACAGGTACAGCGTCGCTCTGTGTCTGTGGATTTGTATTTCAAGAGGCTGAGGGTGAATTTTCCTGCTGTGAAATTCTATACAGAAAACCCAGAAATGAGAGCTGCACGAACAGTTTTGATGAATTTTACCTACACAGTGTTAAACAGAAGAGTAACACACACGAATACATGCAGAATTATTTTGTTAATAAAGAGTTCAAAAACTGGCAAAATAAAATAAGCTCTGTTGTTTAGGGGTGCAAAGATGTGATAGAACTGTAAAGGTAAGCAAGGAAATTATTACTGTAAAAGCCAGAAGAGTCATTAGCTGGGGAGTGTGGCGAGGTGAAGGAGAGAGATTGTAAGAGAAAAGGTTTACCAGGACAGGGCAGGGGGTGCTTCTGGGACACCAGTAATGTTTATTTCTTGACCTGTATCAAGAATTCCATGAATGTTCTATTTCCAATTCTCTGTTCCTTGTAAGGTTCTTGGACTGTCCTGTATGTATATTTCACAATCAAAATCATTTAAAGGTCACCTCACACCCATTAGTATGGCTACTCTCAAAAAACAGAATATAACAGATGTTGGCGAGGATGCAGAGAAATAGAACCTTTGTGCACTATTCGCGGGATTGTAAAATGGTGCAGTCATCACAGAAAACAGTATGGACTGTTTAATTTTCTCAAAAAATTAGAAATAGAGTTACCACATGATCTCTAGGTGTATATCCAAAAGAATTGAAAGCAGAGTCCCAAGAGATATTTGCACACCCATGTTTATAGCAGCACTATTCACAATAGCCAAGAGGTGGAAGTGTCCATCGATAAATGAATGGATTAATAAAATATGGTATATTCATACAATGGAATGTTGTATTCCACCTTAAAAAGGAAGGAAATTCTGACACAAGCTACAACATGGATGAACCTTGAGGACATTATGCTCAGTGAAATAAGGCAGTCTCAAAATGACAAATACCATATGATTCCACTTATATGTGGGCTCTAGAGTCAAATTCATAGAAACAGAAAGTAGAATGGTCGTTGCCAGGGGCTGGGAGGAGGAGGGACTGGGCAGTTGTTATGTAATGGGGACAGAGTTTCAGTTTTGCAAGGTGAAAAAGTTCTGGTGCAACAATGTCAATATGCTTAACACTACTAAACTGTACACTTAGAAATGGTTAAGAAGGCAAATTTTGTTATCAATTTTTACCGCAATTTAAAAAACTATTTAAAGAACATCAGTAAAATAATAATTAAGGTGTTAACGAGAACATAAGTTGAAGCTCCGGTGGCCTAGTGGTTAAGTTCGGTGTGCTCTGCTTCAGCGGCCCAGGTTTGGTTCCTGGGCGTAGACGTACGCCACTTGTCTGTCAATGACCATGCTGTGTCAGCGGCTCACATAGAAAATAGAGGAAAATTGGTAACAGATGTTAGCTCAGGGCAACTCTTCATAAGCAAAAAAAAAAAAAAAAGGTTGCAAAGACCGTGGGAGCCCACAGAACAGTGAGTCACAGGGCCCCTTTCATGCCCTGATGGGTCTCCTTTCCTGAGCTGAGGTGCTGGGGTTTTGACAGGCTTCCCTGGTCACTGTGTCAGTCTCCATCACTGGTCCATCATCTCCTAAGATGAAGAACCTCTCCCCCTCTTCTCAAGACTGGAGGGCCCTAGGGCTTGTTCTTCAGACACCTCCCCCCACCTTCTCTAGCTGCACTCACTCTTGGGAAATGTCATCCGGTCTTGTGGCGTTAACTGCCATCCATGAGCTGATGACTCCTAAATTTTTATCTCCTGCCCAGATCTCTGCTCTGAACTTCAGATTCACATACCCAGCTGCACACCTGGCATTTCCACTTGGATATCTAAGACTCTTTGAACTTAAATGTCTAAAGTGACTTCTGCTCTCTCTGCAGACCTCCTTCCTCTGCACTCTTTCCCATCTCAGCAAATGATAATTCCTTTGTTCCAGCTGCTCAGTCCAAAAATCTGGGAGTACTTCTTGGCTCTGCTTTTTTCTCACATCCCACGTTTGATTCTCTCAAACCCTACTAGCTCTCCCTTTGCAGTATATCCAGATTCTGACTCTTCTCAGGTTCTCCAGTGCTCAACATTATCCCTCCCTGGATTGTTGGAATAACCCCTACCTGGTCTCCCTGCTTCTACTTGTGCCACCTCCAACCTGTTCTCCACACAGCACCTGGATGATCCTGGTACAGAGTGGGCCAGACCATGTCCCCTGCCTGCTGTTAATCCTCCACGGACTCCCATTCCCAGAGTGGAAGCCAAGGTCTCACCATGCATGGCCTATGAGGTCCAGTGTCATTTAGTCCCCGATTGTGAGTTCCAACTTCGTCTCCTCTCCCTCCCTCACTCTGCACTGGCTTCACTGGCCCCTGCTGTATCTGGAACTAGGCATGTTCCAGGTGCTAGTCCCTCTGCTGGGAATGCGTTTCTCCCAGATATCCATGCGGCTGGCTTCCTCGCTCTTTTCCTCGTAAGGAAGCTTTTTCTGGACATCGTCTCTCAAATTGTAGCCCCTGCCCCGTACTCCTTATCTCCCCTCCCTGCTTTATTTTTCTCCTTGTCTCTTCACCATCTGTATTAATTATCTATTCCTGCATAATAAATTACCCCAAAGCTTAGGGACTTAAAGCAACAACAGGCATGTATTCTCTCACACTGCTTTTGTGGGTCAGGGATTCATGAGCAGCTTGGTTGTGTGCTTCTAGCTTGAGTCTCTCGTGAGGGTGCAGTCAGACTGTGGGCCAGGGCTGCAGACGTCCAAAGACTTGACTGGGGCTGTGGAATCTGCTTCCAAGATGAAGCCGTCCTGTGGGTGTCGAGTCAGGGCTGGCTGTTGGCAGGAGGCCTCAGTTGCTCACTCATGGACTCTCCACAGGACTTCTTGAGCACCCTCACAGCGTGGTGGCTGGCTTCCCCCAGAGTGAGTGAGCTGAGAGAAAGCAGGGCAAATGCCACAATGTCTTTCGTGATGTAGCCCCAGAAGCACGCCATTATTTCTGCAGCTGGTTACACAGGTCAGCCTTTTCCCTGTGGGAAGGGGCAACACAAGGGCACATACCACAGAAGGCCCAGAGCCTTGGGATTGGCTCCCACACCGTCTAACCTGTGCTTTTACTTGTTTGTCTTGTGTGTTGCCGCCTCCCTGACTAGAATGTAAGCCCCACGAGGGCAGAGATTGTTGTTGGCTTATTCACTGCTGTATTCCCAGTGCCTAAAACAGTGGCTGGCGCAGAGTAGGTTCTCCATTTACATTTGTTGAATGAAACAAATGAATGAGTCTCAGAAAGATCAGTCTGGCATCATTGTAGAAATAGGTTGGTTACAGGAGGTCTGGGTTAGTGGCAGGAGAGCCAGGAAGGAGGTCACTGTGGTAGTTCGGGCAAAGGGATACTCAGACTTGAACTCGGGCAGTGGGGCAGGAGATGAGTAAGAGGGATTTGGAGTGATGAGTCTGTAGGATTTGGTATCAGAGTGTGGAGGTGAGGCTGAAAGCCCGACCTTGGGACCTCCCATTTCTGGCCTGAGCAGCTTGACAGATAGAGGTACTGTGTCCCAAGATGGGACAAGTGGATGATATGGGTGAAGTGTAATGAATCAGACGTTGGCCTGGGTGACATCCAGAGGGAGAAGACCAGGGCAGTTGAGGGTCAGAGCACCAGGGCGGGGTGGAGGATGGAGGAAGGATTTGGGAGTTACCAGCGTCTCAGGGAGTGGTAAGGCTGCAGGCTCTGGTGAGGTTCTTTTAGGGCAAAGTGTGAGGGCGGCGGTGGGGCAGGGCAAGAGGAGGAGGCACAGGGGACAGAGGCAGTGAGGCCTGGAGACTGGAGGAGAACCAAAGACACTGGGTCATGGGAGACAGGGAGGACCTAGTTTCTTTTTAATCAGCTTTATTGATGTGTAATTTAGAGACAATAAAGTTCTAATTTGGAGTGTACAGTTTGGTGGGTTTTGACAGATGTATAAATCTGTGTAACTACCACCCCAATCAAGACAGAGAACATTTTTTTTATTGATGTTTTAATAGTTTATAACATTGTGAAATTTTTGGTTGTATATTTTTGTTTGTCCATCACCATATACGTGTCTCCCTTCACCCCTTGTGCCCACCCCCACCCCCATTGTCCCTGGTAACCACAATACAGTTTTCTCTGTCCATGTGTTGGTTTATATTCCACATATGAGTGAAATCATGCCCTGTTTGTCTTTCTCTTTCTGGCATATCTCACGTAACATAATACCCTCCAGGTCCATCCATATTGTTGCAGATGGGACAATTTTGTCTTTTTTTATGGCTGAGTAGTATTCCATTGTATATATATACCACATCTTCTTGATCCAGTCATGGAGTTGAGGGACACTTGGGTTGCTTCCACTTCTTGGCTATAGTGAATAATGCTGCGATGAACATAGGGGTGCATAAGCCTCTTTGGATTGTTGATTTCAGGTTCGTTGGGTAGATACCCAGTAGTGGGATAGCTGGATCATAAGGTATT